AAATTGTACATTTATTTTGCAAAATTTATGGTGATTTATGCTAGTGACCGCAAAAGGTAAGTGAAAAGCAGTAGCCATTTGTACAGTTAATGACCTGAGTAATTCAAGTCCGGTGCAAAAGCTCATGATCGCACGGGCCCGCCCGGTGCGTTCCAGCCTGGGTTTTCCATCGTCATATCTTGCTACTGTTCTTCCGCTTTCATCGGACAATCCACGTCTATTGAATGAAATAAACTGAGTGGCCAGTAAAGAGTGCGAGCTGCAGCCTTATCGTTGCTACCTGTGATTGCTTTGATCTTGAACCATTTCTGTGATTAATTCAAATATTGAATGAGTAACAGAGTGCACCTACTCTCTTTTGCTGGGAAAATTAAAAGTCAGAAAGCTCGCCCTATCGACTCCCTATTACAGACGATAATACCCGAAAAGTAGCAAAAGTGATAGCAAATGCCAACAGCAATCTACCACTGGCAGTGCAGTCGATGTGTAGCTCCCTTCAACAGTTGCTTAATAATTAAGCTGATGGCGGATTTAACTCCCTGGCATATGACAGCACCAATTTTCTGTTGAAACGAATGAACGAATCGTGGGAGATCCCTGTACAGTAGCATTCACCGTTTGTGAAGTGTTGTGATTTCTCATTTGTGTCTGTGCAATGGCCCATGAATTTCATTATTTCCTTGATGAGTTTTTTACAGTTAATATAATAATTCGACCCACTTTATTGGTAATTTCATTTGAAAACACTTTATGAAAACATGTTCCTATTTGTATGCGCAAATTTTCCTATTTTCGCAAATTTGTTGATGCGACTTCCTCGAAGACCTACCAGGCAACTTCTTCGCTAATGATGTCATTGTTGTTTCTGTCTGCGAAGGATTCGCGATATGGGGTTCCATTTTTCTGGGAAGTCAGGCGCACGCCAATGAATACTAAGTGCAGTTTCATTTCAATGAAAATCACTGAAGGGCTTGAAACTGTAACTGCCTTCTAGACCAAATCTGCAAACCGAATTGCTTCGAATCTTTCAGGGTTTTTTTGTGTTTCTTTCAAGTCTTATGTTTTCAGAGCGCACGTTTGGCCGTTTCCAACTGTAAGTGCTGTGCTGCGAAGATTTCTAGTTGGTGTTCAAAAATTTACAAGAATCAAGGAAGTTTTTCATGGAGATGCGTGATTTACAGGTCCAGTCTTTTCTTGTGCTCTCTGTTCTTTCTTGCTCTGTCTTTGTACTATTACGCAAACGCAACTGACCGAATACTTACTTTTCCAGGGAGAGCAAACAGAGAATTACTTGAAAAAAATCACACGAACAGAGGTCTCGTCACACTGTAACAACAAAAGCTCGTGGGTCTGCATCGGTAACAAAGTATATGATGTCACAGAATTCCTGGACGAGGTAAGTCAGTTCCAGTTAATCAGGTCTCATGCGCCTTCAACTGAAACGCTGACTTCTCTCTCCTCGCCCTGTAGGAACTCTTTATTTCATGAATAGGACGATGGAAGCTAGCGCGTTTTACTGCTTTTTATGCGTTTTTGCTGTGCAGCACTATGGCGCTGTTACAGCCAGCAAAAA